TATATATATATATATATATATATATATGACGGATTAAAGATTTTTGGAATAATAATTTACTCTTTGATCTGTTCTCGGCTTATTACCTAGTTCGGAAATTTTCGGTGGGGGATAAGTGAACAAAGACCCTCAATAAGGCACATAATATTTTGTGGGGAGGTTAATTGTTTTAATTCCTAGATACGTCGATATGGGGATATGACGATAAAACTTTGTACCGTAAGTATTGATTCATGTTATTCCATCAATTATGTTAAAGATGCTTGCTTCTTTTAAAAGCTCATAATTCAATGAATTTTTGAAACTTACAAAGTTTTATGAATATTTTAATCCGCTAGCGATATCTGGAATGTGAAGCATCTATTTAACTTGACAATTCTGATAATATTTAGACTTATTATGTTGCATTTTTTTATAACTCTGTGAATGATCTGTAAGTCAAATGAACATCTTAGAAAATATTCGTAATCATATTGGCTCGGGCTGTTATCTGGTCTAGTTAGAGTTATCTAGTAAAATATAATAACTAAATCAAGTCATTGTGTATATGATTCTCGTTATGACAATATAAACATGCATCTATCTCTGGGAAATTCATGAGAGATCGAATTTTCTGAACCGATTCCAGGCTTTAATTTAGTGATAAATTGAATCTGGTTAATATAGCATAACTTACTGAAGAAAATTGTCCTCTAATGTTAAACCATCTAATAGCGGACATTAAATAGTCCGCATGTTAAAAGTCGATACCTGCATAATATGTAAGATCTGTGGGGATTATTATTTTCACATAAATTATCAATCGTTCATGCCCTTTGGCATATACAAAGAAATAAATATAGTTATCTCTGATACAAATGTATTAAAAGAATAATAATGACGGAAGTTCCACAATTATCTCACTCAAAGAATGAAAATAGTAGTGTGCAAATATTTTGTGACGAACCGGGTTGTAATAAATCATTTAAAAGAACAGATCACCTTACGAGGCATAAACGCAATCATACATCTAAGAATTTGTTCAAATGTACGTGGCCTGGGTGTAATAAATCGTTTGTCAGAAGGGATGTATGGTCTAAGCATACACAACGTCATGTTGCGAGACAAGAAAAACAAAAGGACCTTCGAACTGGTCGTATACAATTTTTAGAGATATACACACCTACATCTAATTTCGATGAATTAAATAGAAAGGTTAAGAATTCTTCTAATAGTCCACCAATTCCTAAGAATCATGAAGGATGCAATTTATTGGATGACCAACAGTTTCTGTCTATCCCAAGCGTGAATTATAAATTTCAAAATCAAAAGATGTCTCTGAAGGACAATTCTTCTAAAGCTTCAGTTAGTGAATCTCCTATTCCGAATGAACAAAGAAACCTGCATTCTAATTGTCTTAATGATGATTTCCAAGAGCAAAGTCTTAATAGAAAGCAAGGGATTATTGATATTGAGATTAGCCACCCGACTGTTTATTGTTATAGCTCTAAAACATATATCAATTCGACCATAAAAAACCCAAGTATCACTGAAAATAAAGGAAAGAATTCTGGAACAGTAAATGAATGCCTGGTGATTGACGGAAATAAAGAAAGCGTTTCTGAAAAATTTGGAAACTTTACAAGTGGACCAGAAACAAATAAGACTACACCTACAGAATTAATACATTGGATGTTAAACGGACATGCACTGTATTCAGAGCCGTTTCACAACTATATTGATTATTCTCCAGATTCTCCCTTGAAGAACTTGTTAAGTATCTCTTCTCCTTTCCCAATTTCGAATTGTCAAACCGATGTGTCAGAGGGTACGAGATCAAGGATGCTTGAATTTATTCCTTCGCTTCTGCTTAACCTAGATTTTAGTTTAGATCATATTAAAAAATGCATAGGGTCTTACTGGAATATATTTCATGTTCAATATCCAATTTTACATAAGCCTTCCTTTTCTACGTTGGAAGCACATCCTTTATTATTGTTGAGTATGGTATCGATGGGGGCAGCCCTTCGCTCTCGTAATAATCGAACAGACAGCAGAGCTTTTAAAGATATAGGTAAGTTAGCGTATGAAATAGCCGAACCGTTAAGATGGCTTATTTTTTCAGCTAGTGAAATGACAGAACATATTACTCCGTGGGTTATACAAAGTTTGCTAATTGTAGAGTGCTATGAAAATTCGTGCTCTAATAGGAGGTTACATCAGAGAGCATATTTACATCATGGATTAAAAATACAACTACTAAGAAGGAGTCCTCTACTTGGTGGAAATTCTCTGAGAATTATTAATAGTGATGATGGCCTAACTGACGAAGTCGATGCTTGGAAGAAATGGATCGAAATAGAATCTTTAAAGCGAAGTGCATTCATGGCCTTTCTAATTGATGCCATACATGCATTAATATATGGCCATGAGACAATTCTATTAACTCATCAGGTAAAATTATCCTTGCCTTGTGATGAAATGTTATGGGAAATGACGGAAAGTACTTATTTGCCGCCAAGCTCAGAATCTCCTAAGTTTTTAAATGCATTATCAAATTTACTTCATAAAAAAAGGGTTGAAACTGGAGCATTTAATAAGAGAATTCTTTTTGCAGGATTATTAACCATTATGTTTGGTATGGAACAAAGGGATATTCAGATTAAAGAGTTTGAGTGGGAATCAGTTAAATCATCGTGGAAAGAAACAGTATTTGACGCTATTGGATTTTGGATGGAAGATATGTCCCAGACATTTTGTTGTGATATAAGAACTGGATATTATATACCGACAAATACTGAGATGCTACCCGAATCCTTGAAGTTCGATAACACAACTTGTAAACTAGCCATGTATCACCTTTCTCAAGCTTTTCTACGAGTTCAGCAGTATGATTGCATCATATATGCCGGAGCACCTAGTAGGATGAATGTTAGGACTAATTACAATGACTATGAAATCGTGAAGAAAAGAATTCACGAATGGGCTAATTCATACAGTGGAAGTGTGTCTGTCGTACATGCATATTTATTTATATCCGAGATGTTATTGAGCCTGGATAAATCGAAGGAAAATATTTTATTATCCTATGATCCTAGCGAAGATCCAATTTTGTATAGACCAAATGTTGTTGCTTCATTATTATTCGTAATTTGGTGTTACAATTATTGCTTGGAAGGGCCAGAGTCCAATATATTTCCAAATACTGACCAAACTACTCAAACCTCTTGTATGAAATCCAATTATTTACCAGAAAAAATGAATGGATACAGCTACATAAGTCGTATTAATACGTCATTTAAACGCTCTTCTGTCGGAGAAACTAAGTTGAGTTTTAAATTTGTTGATAAATATGCCAAAGCTTTGGATCAAGTTCAAGAAAAAAATTGCACTGTCGGATTATTGAGGCTCTTTAAAGAGAAATATGAAAATTGTGTTTCTCAAATTTGTCAAGAGTATGGCAAGCTTTTAGAGAATTGTATTCAAAGAAGTTTAGGCAAAACAACAATTATTTGTACCAATATGTACAAACATTCTTCTTGAATTCGTATTTAAATAAATCTATTTCCATTCATGCCACGAGTTTTTTAAATAAGAAGATAATTTGCGATGCTTTTATTATTTTGTGTTGCATCCAATCTAATATAAAATAAGAATATAGAATGTATTCTATACTATCTTTTGAACTATTTTTTTAATCTCTTATATCTATAAGGTTTTTTTTTTTTGTACAATCACAATTTTATTAGCTAATATATATATAATATACAAAAATACATAGGAAAACACACACACACACACACATATATATATATATATTATACTTAGAAGCATAAAGTTAAGCTATTATAAGGAGTTTGAAAATCACCAGTTAACCTATTAGTTAATTTCATTTGATAACAAGCAGATAAATTGAGCTCAAATTATAAATTTAATGTCAAAATGAAGAGTGGGTTTCATACTGTCTATTTATCTTGGTATTTGCTACTTGTAAATAATATACTTTTTTTGGATTTCTTGTTGTCTTCTAATCAACAATCGATGTATTCTTGCTTCTTGCATATGATATTAGAAGATAAGATTTTTCTGTTTTGCGCAAGTCGGAAAATTGAGTATATCAAACTATAATTCTAAAGAAGAAAAGAAATAAGAAAACTCGTTCGATATATTTAAAATTAATTTTATTTCTCACCTAGATTAATTACAATGAATTTCAATAGTTCAATATTTCTACTTTATTTCTCTAGGAGTACTGGCATTTAACTTGAAAATTTAACCACGCATAGTTTATATTGAGATTTGTTTTGTAAAAACTATCACGTATTTGTTAAATCTTCTTTTCTAAAATTGCCCCAATCGGAAATTTGCGGCTATACTGTTTCGCAACTGCAAATTTGAAGACTTCACCATTTAATGTTTTCGTGTCATTCCGTAAGATAATATAAAAAAATTTTGAAGTTTTCTTACGGGAGTATATTGAGTTTCAATTAATTGTCGGTCCAAAACAATTTTCTTGATAAAAACATAATCTTTAATCTTCAATCTTTAAGTCAGGATTATCAACAAGACTTGGAGATAATTGAAGTTAAGCATTTTAATAAACTTGTAATCTAATAGTTTTTAAGCTTTTTCAATATGAATTATTGATTCTTTTTCAATTACTATATCCTCATAGTTCTGTTTATCTCTTGCGTCTATAGGTTTACCCCTACTTGAAAATACCCCCCTGGTTATGCCGTGCTTCTCAAAGATATGATCAATGTCTTCTAATTCTAGACCCTTTGTTTCTGGGTAAAAGCAATAAATTATTGGTATCCATACCGCATTTAAAATAGCAAAAATTATGAACGTCTTCCAACCTATGTTATTAATTGATATGGGAGTAATTTGCACAACAGCGAAAACTGACAACCAATTAAACGCAGATCCTATAGCTTGATTTCTGGATCTTAATCTAGTAACATTGATTTCAGCAGGATAGAACCAAGGCACCGGCAACCATCCAACACCCATAAATATTTGGTATATAAAAATAAAGCATGCTGCCCCAACACCGCATCCATATGTTCCAATAGATAGCAATATTGACACTATTATAAAGCAAAAGGATAACCCTGCCGATGAATACAATAATAATGGCCTCCGTCCAAATCTTTCTACGGCCCACAATGGAAAAAATGATGCTCCAAGATATACAATTTCTGTACATCCTGCAAGTATTAAGGAAGTATTTCTATTCAAGTTCATTGTTGTTTGATAAACAACTGGTGCATAGTAATTGATCATATTTGAACCAGTAAACTGTTGCATAATCATAATGCCTATAGTTAATAGTAATCTTCTAAAATTTTGAATATCGCCACCTCCGAATAATTCTTTGAATTGAAATGGGCCCCCAGCACCTTCTAATTCAACAGTTTTCTTTATTTTTTCTTTTTCATAAATGACCACCAAATCATTTACATCCTTATCCAAAATAGCAGCCAAAACATTTGCTGCTTCTGTTTGACGATTTTTTGTAATCAACCAGCGAGGCGTTTCTGGTAATAAGAAAGTTTCAAGTGTGAGACTGATTGCAAATATACCTTGGAATGCTATAGGAAACCTCCATTGAAATGGACTTTCTGTGTAAGACGTACCATATCCCACCCAATAGGCTATTACTACACCAAAAATAGTAACAACTGCTTGCCAAGTTAACATTGCACCTCTGTTAGAAGCTAAAGCACATTCAGATTGATATACTGGTATAGTTGAAGAATTAAAGCCATTCCCAATTCCAGTAATAATTCTACCAGCATAAAATTGACCTCTAGATTGCGATGCTGTCAAAATAACAGTTCCTAGGATCATTATTAATCCTCCACAAAACATCATTACTCGTCTACCGTATTTTTCACCAATAAAGAAACACATAATTGATCCTCCAACACAGCCCAAATCGTAAACAGATGTTAATAAACCCTGCACTGTCGAGTCAGGATGGTTGAAATCGCGGCCAAATCTATTGTCTGCTCCTATAATTGTACCCATTAGACCTTGGTCATAGCCAAGCAATAAGAATCCAGTACACGAGCAAAATGTAATCAAAAGTCTCAACTTTTTACCTTGACATATTATTTTGGAAGTACTTAACATTTTCAAACTTATCATCAAAAATAGTTATATCCATCTGGAAATGGCAAGAGTCCGCAGAACACTAAGTTATATATAGTTTGTATATCGGGATTTTGATATACCGAATATCTTTGACAATAACTTTTATGCATTCCTACTTCAGGTACAATTAAATGAGCGTTGTGCCTTTCGTAAAAATGTTCAAATAACACTCTTCCCCTCTCATATCTCGTTTTGACCCTACTTTTATTCAAAGCGAAAATCCAATTCAAGAGTCACATTGTTCGAAATTCTACAATCATATTCAAAGAATTAGAAAACGATTAGCATCCTATGGAAAAATAAACTACAAAATAGTATATTCAAGAAGACTGGATTTGATATTGAGTTTTTTGGAATAAATATCGGGTTATGTTTATCTATTCTGAGCTATTCCCCTCCTCTGCCAAACCTAGTCCTTTGCGTTTTGAGTTTTCGCGTGGAGATGGCAAATAATCTCGTTGGGGTTCAACTGTTTGAAATACTTGAAAGTCTTCAGTTAAGGTATTCTAATATGCTAGTTAGTCGTTTCATCACACACAGCTTTAGGGATTGATTATCTGCTTCATGATTTTGCTCATAATTAATTTAAGTAATATGAAAGCATAATTAGGGTTTATTGATACTTTCAGGTAGACAAATTTAATAAGAATTTTGACAATTTTTATGTAAAATACAGTCAGTTATATACTAATAATATAATTGATCTTGATAGGCTCTGAGTTAAAGTACTATTTGCTTTCAATCCCTAGATTTTAAATTTGATTGATTTAAACCTGGGGAAGTGGCGCCGGATTATATGATTATATAATCAACGGAATTGTCATAATAAGTGGGGAGATCTTTATATAGGAGGATAGTTTTCAGGATGAAAATTCAAGGTTTAAGATTAAAAG